AGTTTGGTGGCTATGCCTTCTCTACTGAGTAGAGTGATCGAGTCCTAGGGGCAGGATACATAGATTTTGTTCATTAGGGAATGAGTACGGTCGAGTACAGGTAATGAGGGTTGGACCACTCATACGGATGGTAGTCTTCGGTTTAGGGGAAGGATTGTAGTTCCCCAGTCTACGGAGCTGAGAGAGGAGGTCCTTAAGGAGTTCCATTGCTCCCGTTTTGTTGTACACCCCGGTGGCACGAAGATGTATCAAGATCTTCGTCACCAGTATTATTGGAGCGGAATGAAGAAACACGTTGGAGATTTTGTTAGTCGATGTCTCACGTGTCAGCAAGTGAAGGCTGAGCACCAAAGATCAGCAGGGTTACTCCAGCCTTTGGAGGTAGCTGAGTGGAAGTGGGAGCATGTCACGATGGATTCTGTGACCCACTTGCCATGAACATCTCGAGGGTATGATGCTTTGTGGGTGAGAGTGGACCGACTTACTAAGTTGGCACACTTTTTGGCCGTGCGGATGACCTTCCCACTAGAGGAATTCTACAGGTTGTATCTACAGGAGATTGTTCGGTTGCATGGGGTGCCTGTATCTATAGTATCGGATCAGGATCCCAGGTTTACGACTCATTTTTGGGAGAATTTTCAGCGAGCCATGGGGACACAGTTGATGATGAGCACTATTTTTCATCCCCAGACAGACGGTCAGTCGGAGAGGACCATCTAGCCTTTAGAGGACATGCTACAGGTATGCGTCCTAGATCTCAAGGATAGTTGGGAAGAGCACCTACCCTTAGTGGAGTTCGCCTACAACAATAGTCATCAGACGAGCATACAGATGACACCCTATGAGACACTATATGGGAGGCCTTGTCGTTCTCCAGTTTGTTGGACGGAGGTAGGAGAGAGACCCTCTACGGGTCCGAATTTGGTTAGAGAGACCTCTGAGAAGGTGGACTTGATACAGAAGCATCTTCTCAAGGTTCAGAGCTGACAGAAGAGCAATGCCGACAAACGGCAGCGACCTCTAGAGTTTGAGGTGGGAGATCATGTCTTTTTGAAGGTGATGCCTAAAAGAGGAGTGGTTAGTTTTGGAAAGCGGGAAAAGTTGTCACTGAGGTATATCGGACCCTTTGAGATACTCGAGAGGGTAGGTACAGTTACTTATCGGTTGGCGTTATCACCAAATCTATCGGGTGTTCACGCGGTGTTCTATATCTTTATACTCCAAAAGTATACTTCAGATCCGACACATGTAGTGGATTTGTGGTGAGTTGATTGTTGATGTGGATGAGACCTTCAAGGAGGGACCGGTGCGTATCATGGATAGTAGGAATTAGGTTTTGCGAGGCAAGACCGTGAGGCTAGTGAAGGTGTTATGACAGCATTGAGGAGTGGAGGATGCGACATGGGAGCGCGAGGGCACTATACGTACCAATTATCTTTTCTTATTCGAGGATGGATGTACATTTTTGTAGTTATGAGTATGAGATACTTGTCACATATGCATGTGGTTGAATGTGCATGTGTGTATGAATTTCAGGGATGAAATTCTTTTAAGGGGGGAGGAATGTAAAACCCGGGTAAATTTGAACTTTTTCTGAAAAAAGGCAAAATGGTAATTTGCCATTATAATTTGGATTTAAAATACGCATTTCTCTAGATCTCGGATGACGCAACGGACTTCACCGTTAGATTTGTATCGCGAAATCTAGTCATCCAGACTAATTTGTCGAACTCTAAGATAGTCGAATTTTTTACATTTTACGAGACGATTGTGTTGAATGACCTCATAAAGGTCTCCAAAAATGAAAAATATAAAATTTTCTTATAATTGGATGAAAGTTCAAATAAAATTAATTTGAACTTAAACCGAGATCAAATAAATCGTTTCGAAGAGAAAACGGATCCGAACAAGTGGGGGACACGTAGGGCGACGTGGGCCGAGTATTAAAATTATAAATAGGGCTAAATATCTGATTTTTGGGCAGAAATATCTTTGCAATTCAGCCCTTAACCGTGTGAGAGAAATGAGGAGAAGAAAAGAGAAAATTCCAACTTTTTTCTTTCGATTCATGGAGTTCCGTTGGTCAAAATTCTTCGAGCCAATAATCAAAGTCAATCATATCAACGAGGGCTACGCAACCATACCAAGAATGAAGGATTTCACCAAAGATCCAAATATGAGATTTTGTGAAAATCAAGATTTGGAGGTTGTGTTGGTGTTCTTGAAGGTTCTACCTTTCGTTTGATGCAACAAGAAGTAGGGTTTCCCTCCTACTTTGGTTTATTTTCATCTTATGGTGTCCATAGGAAATGAGTGGGCTATTTTGAGTGTTTTAACACTTGCCTATTATAATTGGTTTAATGGAAAATGGTAGGCTCAATCCTAATATGAATTGGTAATTAGAAATTGTTAGTTTGTGATTTCTTGGAAGTTTTGATAATAGGGTACGTGGAAAATTATTTATTCTGATTTTTTTTTGAGTTATGTGATAAATTTGGGCATTTTATGTGATTATATGATTTGGTGCCTTGAAGGTGTTTGTGTGAAATAAAGTGTGTTAATTGCATGAGATTATGTGATAACATGCTTGGATGATGTGGTAAAGTGAAATCTTATGCTTATGATGTGATTTACATTTGCAAATGTAAATGTTGATATGTGCTTGAAATATATTGGTATTGTGATGATTATGGAGATTAATTGCTTAGGATTTAATTATCCATAATATGTGTTAAAATGTGGGTATAGAAATGGTTTATTTCAAGTTCTACCTCGAAATTGATATGTGGAAGTTCCTTGTGAAACCTCTTGGAATTTTGGTATTGTGTGTGTATGCTATGTATTTAGATGATGCTCTTATGAGTAAAGTGTGTTTTGGACATAAATTGTGTAATAACATACTTGTTATGATTGTTGATAAATGTTCATTGATATGTTGACATTGTGATGGATAAGGGTGATTATATGCATATGATATAAATTGTCATGGAACATGTGGACATGTGATTAAATTGCTCATTTGGCATTAATGCATATTGAGCATGATTTTGGCATCTCATTCATGGGCTTTAGGCATGAGTGTGACTGTGTGTGTGTGTGTGCATAGTTAATCAAACACCATACTTGGTGGTTGATATGTGGACTTGGGAAAGTTGGATCGAAGATCCCGTTGAGTTGCATGGTTGCACGAGAAAAACTTTTGTCGGATATAGCAAGAAGGGCTAGATTCTCCCTCGGGTGCAAGACCCGGCTACTAGTTCATATACTTCGACGGTACAAGTCCAAAAAGTGTAAAAAGACGTACGGAGCCGGCAGTGTGATTCCAAAATCCGTTGCCCAACAAGGACACAAGATTTTGTTTTATAAAACACCCCTTTAATTGGCAACATTCAACATCCAACAATGATTTGATTTTATAAATACATAATTTTTATTTCAAACGATCATTGGATGGTTTTTCGTCAATTGACGGTTTCATTGCACAAGTGCATTGCATTGTGTTGTGGGAGTCGATAAGGACTCGGGTTGAAGTTGCATGAGTGAGTTTCATCTCAATTCATGTCATAACATATAAATTCCTATCATGGGATTGAAATTCTTGATTGAAAAGAATATTGCTCATAGATTGTTACATGTGAACATTGCATGTGCATTTAGGTTGGGGAGTAGCCTCTGTAGAGGATACTTCATTGAGCATAACTCATCCTATACGGGAAAATATTTCAAGTGCGGATACACACCGGTGAACAGCTCTTATTTGGAGCCTCAAGGATGAAGATTGGCCGACTTGTGGCCTTTAACCTTGGTTTTTGTAAAATTTTTGTTAAAACTATGTTTTGGGCATGTAATATATGTAAAACAATTGTAATCAAACTTATATGAACTATTTTAATGTAACATGACATGTTATTACATGGGTATGGATGAATGGACCCTATGTGGTCAATGTTTACTTATAAATGGACCCGGTGTGGCCATTATTTATTAACAAATGGACCTGGTGTGGTCAATGTAATATAATTGCACATATTGTGTTTTGGGTAGAGCTTCCTGTACAAAGAAGATTCTGCCCAAATTTCGTTAAATTATGGATCCTGATAAATGGGGCATAATAGCGTGATATTGATTTACATGATATCCACGGTTATTCCGGGGGTTGATAGGTGATCAACGGACTCCCGAATTTTGGTGAATTCAATGTTAATTTAATAAATTAAATATTAATTGGAAGAATTGAATTTTAATTTGGTGTCATAATTCAATTCAAAAAATTGAAACTTCAGCCAAAAAGTTGAAACCTCTACCTCAAAGAGTTGGAACCTCCAAAAAAGTTGGAACCCCTCCCAAAAGAGTTGGAACATTTACCAAAAAAGTTGGAACCCTATACAAAAAAGTTGGAATCCTATACAAAAAAGTTGGAACCCCTACCAAAAAAAATTGGAACCCACCCCAAAAGAGTTGGAACCCCTACCGAAAAAGTTGGAACCCCTCCCCCATCAGTTAGAACTCACACCAAAAAATCATGTGACCTTACTCCTTAGGCTTAAAAGTCCCCTGACTTCATCTCTAATATGATTGTCCAAGCCAAACTCAACTTTCGTGCGGCTATGGTAAAGGGTGAGTGGCATTATTGACACTTGGGAGTTGAATATATTTTGTTGTGAATTATGATTTCTATACTAACATGAATCGAAATTTAAGTTATGAAAAAATTTCATTATTGATCAACTGAGTTTCGAGTAGTGTTTTTTGTTGAAGTGTAATTGTAGGTTTTCCTAAATGTTGAATTAATTTGAATTGACATATAATTCACGAGATGCTTTTTTTTATTAGTTAGAATGTCAGATACTTGAATGATATATGGGTTGATTTAATAAGTGGTGTTTATAATTGGTGAAGTGGTTAATTTATGGGAGTTGCATTTAGTTTTATGTTATATGTTGGAGTGTTGATATCACCAATGGGTGTCAGCATGTGGTATAGGTTGGATTGTTTCAGGTATGGGTGAAGGGTGCAAGGTTTTTGTTATGGTTGAAGGGGCTATGGTATTTATGGTTTGTAATTTTAAAAAGTGATGGGTTAAAAATGAGTTTCTTTGGTATATAGTTGGTTACTAAACAATCTCTCTCTCTCATGTCTTCGGTCATGGTTGGGTTGCACCTGACAAGTGATTAAAATGATTGGTTTAATTACCACTGTGGTAACAAGATTATGCGTAAAATCTTTCAAATTTTTCCTAAATTCCTTACTCCGATATTGATTAACTGTGAGTATGTGCTCCTCATTCCTTACGTGGTTAATTTGTTCACGCTGTGTATGGAAGAGTTTTTTTTTTTTTTATAGATGGAGAACTCAAGCTTATTCTTTCTCTTCATAGGTTCCAAGTGTCCCAGTTAACCGTTTTTTCTTTGCTAAATATTTTATCACATAAGAATTATTTCTTTTCTTAGGTTCTAAAGCTTAAACTAACAATAGAGAATTATATTTGTTTGTTGCATAAGGAGAGTATTTATCTAACTTTTTTAAAACTTGCTTAAACTATGTGATATTTTCTCTTTCTATGAAATTGTGTTACCTATTTTGTGTTAAGTAGTTTAAGTGGATTGGAGGGTTGGATGACTCATTGAATAATGAATGATGACATCTAAAGTATTTTAGAATTTCGAGTCTGATTTGTTTAAGAATAATTTCCTAAAATAATAAAGTCGCCATATTATTACTTTTGTTGTTCTAGAATCTTATGAACATTACTCTTATTTTCACCTATCCCTTTTTAATTCTACTGTGAGTTTTTTTCAGTTGCTTTGATTTTGTTGAATTATTGTCTTTTTCATTTTTTGTTTTTGATTTAGTGGTTGGTACGACGAAATTAACTAGATCAACTAAGAATTGAAAAACTGGTAACTTTGTTATTGATTATTGTTGAATCTATAATATAAAATAGAGCAGGTTTCAATAAAATCATCCGATAGTTTCAAATAGATTCATTCAACAGTCACAAATATCACTTTTAAAATTATTCACATTACACCGAGGCTGAAGGCACGGGTTATCCCTAGTATAATGCTAACGTTGATAACTTCAAATATGGCATTCATAACCATCGGATATTACTTTCTTTTTGGTTTTTGCTTGATTGTGGTAGTTGTAACCTATTAATTATAGTTGTTTCTGCCACTGCCGGTGCTTAGGTTGTTATAATTGGCAATCATTTCATCTGTTTTCAGGTTGGTTTCCAAGCAATCGCAGAAGCACTTGGATTGGCTGCTGTGAAGGCCATTGTTTCTATTACTGCCATAATTGCTGGAGGACGATTGGTGAGTTCTAGATGTTGTTGGATATATAAAATTATGCTATCTCAAGTGTTTATATTCTTAAGGTTCTCAAATAGTATCTTTCTGACAAGAACGTATTTGATAAATTTTCATTGCTGATAATTAAATGTACTCAAGGAAACACGTATCCATAAGCTGTTGTGCAGTTATTTCGTACATCTTACTATGGGAACTGCTCTATAGCTTCTGACAAAGCCGATCAAGAATTTCAGTTTTTACTCAAGGATTTGTAACATTCGGCATCTCATTCTGTGTGCTAATTTTCAGCTACTTCGGCCAATTTACAAGCAAATTGCAGAGAATCAAAATGCGGAAATATTCTCTGCAAATACACTTCCTTGTCATTCTGAGGACTAGTGTCCTTACTGCCAGGGTATATGGACTTGTGCTATTGATTGTTAGTTGTGTATATTGTTACAGCAGCAATAACATGCCTCTGTTGTAAAAAATTGAGCAGGCTGGCCTTTCCATGGCACTGGGAGCATTTTTGGTTGGTTTGCTCCTTGCGGAAACTGAATTTTCATTACAGGTTGAATCTGATATTGCTCCATATCATGGCCTTCTATTGGGTGTCTTCTTTATGACAGTAGGTCCTGTCTTTGGCATCTGTAAGATCCACTTATCATTTGTTCATAAAATGTGTACGTTGAATGTGGCTCTAGACGTTCCTTATTTAATCTTGATATTTTGTGTTTGTCCTACAGCTTTTTCTATGTGATATGGATTTTGTGTTATTCAGCACATACACTGAAATAGGATCTTATGATTGTAGTCTTCTTTCTGGAATCTGGACGCTGTAACTTTTTCTAATTTATTTTAACTGATCGATACAATTACTTTGTTACTAAACAGAGATTGTTACTCTTATAATTTCACTTAGCAACATCTATTTTTTTTTTTTGTTTTCAGGTTGGAATGTCCATTGATCCAAAACTTCTTATTTCAAATTTTCCTGTTATGATGGGGACATTGGGACTTTTAATTTGTGGCAAGGCCTTGTTGGTTGCATTAGTTGGCAGAATTTTTGGCATTTCTATAATATCTGCAATAAGAGTTGGTGGTCTTCTTGCGCCTGGTGGAGAATTCGCATTTCTGGCTTTTGGTGATGCTGTCAATCAGGTTTCCATCTTGATCAACTAAGTACTTTGCTTGCAAGTTTTACTATTGTCTTTCTTAATAAACCTTTTTTATTTCGTTTTCTTTTGCATAAATGTTTAATAGCCAATAGTTTATATTTCTTTAGTGAAATTTCTTGGCAATTTTCTAATTAGATTTTACATGCTGCCTTCATGATTGACAGGATCCTATGTTTATTTATTTATTTTAAATAAATAAATCTCAGGGACCTATATAATTAAAGCTTGATATTATTAACGACTTGGTTGAGTTAATAGCTTATGCATGGATACATGATTCTAATACGAGGAATGAAGAAAACAAAACGAGATTTATACAATTGGAATGGACTAAGCACACGGTGGTACAGCTAGTGCTGCATATCTTAAAAGAGAAGAAAGTACTCTGACCTCCCATAAGCAATTTACATCATAAATATACATGTGCGCACACTACAAAAAAATGCATGGAGTCACTTACGTGATGGCCAAAAGTTTGAGCCACTTAGGAATGGCTAGTGTCACTCTCAAAGACAAGATGAATACTCACGAATCATATCTCAAAACAAATAATATGCAGCCTCTCCAGAAGTGAGATATCAAAAACTTCAAACCTAACATTCCAGAATGCATCTTGATACTTCTGAAACATGTCTAACATATCAATGCCTAAATATGATTTAAATAGACTATTGCCCCTAATCATCTGACTTATGATTTACACTTATTATCTAATTACAATATGACATCTAATTCATTTCTTCGAGAGGTGGTCCACTTTAGCTTGGAAGCTAGTGCTTCATCTAAATTTCATCCTGCCATTACTTAAGAGCCTTTCTTGATCTCTCTTTTGATTGTGATCTAAATATTTTAGCGGGTGCATTTTTTTTGGGAGGGATGGTTTTCCTGCATCGTTTGCTTTTCTCTAAAGTAGATTGAGTCAGAATGACAGTTTGCAATGCACTGTTCCTTTTAGTTGCTCCCTTTTCCAACTGGTACACATTGGCAACACTCATCCTACTTCCTTCCTGCCCTCAAATGGTTAAGATGCCTTGACTTCTTAAGTCATGAATGTGCCAGGCATCGTTGCAGCTTATACCTACAATCACCGTTATAGTAAATACAACTAATCTTTCTAATTGGCTTGGTTTGCAGGGTATAATGTCTTCCCACCTGTCATCTTTGTTGTTTCTTGTGGTGGGGATTTCAATGGCCATCACGCCATGGTTAGCTGCTGGAGGCCAATTAATAGCCTCTCATGTTGAGCAGCATGATGTGCGAAGTTTATTACCTGCAGAGAGTGAGGTGAAATACCTAACTTATGTGCTTATTACTGATATGTGGAGCAAGCATTTGTACCATAGTCTGCAGAATGTTGTTTAACATGTTAGGTCTTTTCGGTTTACAAGTTCAATATGGATACATTTAGTGACGAGGAACTTTCTCTTTTTTGACTATTAACAGTAAAATATTACTCTTTCCCCACTCCAGCCATGATGTGACTCTAACCATTGTGTCTGCTCTTTAGTGGCCCTACCGCTATACCTAGACGAAGGCACCATTGGACATCAACTTCAGAGCATAATTTTAAAATACAGCTGGGTGACGTACTTTCTTGACCAGGTGGATACAATGCAAATGAGTGAAATTTATGCCTTTTTATGCATTTGAAGTGCATAGTCTGTAATTTTTAGTTTCAGGCTTCAAATATAGGGGCAATGATTCATGCACTTGAAAAGTATTTGCTCGACTGTTATTTGCCTCTAGACAATTTGATCAAATTAATGTAAACTGTTAATGATGACTTACATGCAAGGTATTCCCAATGATGGATAAAGACTTGGGAACTTTTGCTGAAATATTCCTTAACTTAGCTGTTGGGAATGGTTTGCTCCATGGGAGGCAGTAAACAAATAGCAATCCCTAAGTAGGAAGGATTTTCACTCAACTTCACGTAGAGGTTAAAAAAGCACAACATTGCGTATTTTTTAATTTTCTTAGTGAATATTGTGGTCCACAAATCACAAAAACCTTATCTTCTCCCTCCACCTACTTTACGATTGGTTACTGGTCTTGCCTTTCCTCCATCTCTTTCACCGTATAAAAAATATTTGTTTGTTTGGTCTAGGTTTTGTTGAGTCCGCGTCCTAGAGGTATTGTGAAACTCTATTACTTTTTTTTTTGCATGACTTTGTCTTTGATAATCCTCTATTGCTTACCTTGGTGATCCAAGTTTTGACTCGTTCTGATATAATGTAAGTGAACATTTTTTTAAGTTAATAGCGTAATTTATATGGTGAAGCCATTTTTGTGGTTAATAGTTTATTTTATGTTTAGGGTGAAGAAGGAACACGAAACTGAAACTGAAGAAATTAAGTCATCTCGCCCAACAACCTCCCGACTTTTTTATTAGTGGGAGATTTTTTTTAATCTAAATGCTAAATTATTTGTGTTGATCTTATTAATTGAGTTTATCTGATGAGAGTGATTGAGAGAATGGAAAATCTAAGTGTAGACTCACCAAAAGAGACTGACGTAGATGCAGAGAAGTCAAAGAATATCCAACCTAAAAAACTGGAAATGCAGAAGGATTTGATTAGGGACACCTCGGCATTCAACTTTTCAAAAGCATTATTGAAGAAATCATCCCGTTTCTTTTCTGCGTCATTCTTCTCTTTCCATGTTGATGGGATTGAATTCACACCGGCTTCAGTTTTCCTTACTCTTATAGAGTCTGCAAGGAAGCAATTGCCTAAGCTGGTGGTTCGGTTGTTGCTTGTCGGAGCAGGGTATGCATTGTCATCAGAATTGGATTTGATCTACTGTTATTTCTTTGTTACATGTATACGCATCAAATAAATGTCAGTTGAATATCAATTGTTTAATTTATTAATTTTTTGTTCCCTGATAGCCGAGGGTAATGTCGGTTATTAGTTTGGTATATCTACTATGAAGGTTTGCCTTCTTTTTGTCACATACAGATACAGGGTTGCCTTTTATGCCAGCCGGAAAGGGACAATTGGCCAGCTATTTCAACAGCCAGATATTATCACCACTAGTATTGATGAAGTTTCTTCAAACACAAAGCCTCTTGTTCGACAAATAAGGAAATTTCCCCAGAAAATAAAAGAACTAATGGAGATGCTTCCTCATCGAGAGGAATGTGCTCAGATAACCATTTGTTTGAGATGCTCTTGGTTCAAACATATGTTCTATCCTATTTGTATATCTATTTTTTTGTACTGCCTGATCAAGTGTTCCTTTTTTCTCAAATAAATGAGGAAGAAGCTTCTCTCTTTGACATATTATGGTTATTGCTTGCAAGTGTTACAATGGTGCCTACATTCCAGAAAATCCCTGGAGGTGACTGAATTTCCTGTGTTTATTATTGTGACTGTGAAATTGAAGCCTTCTCATAGGCATCTTCTTATTTTGGTCCTATAAAGTTGTCTGATACTACATGCTTTGACATTGAACATGTTTGCCTACAAATTTTTCAGCACGCGCTCACAGATTATCAGTGCATAAAGAAGTTTGTTACTTAAGTCTGGCTTATAATTGATAGTACCTCTTGTTTTCTGTTGCCCGGTTTTCTGGTAGGCTTTTTGTTTACCATGCTTGTTATTTGCTTTCTTGAACTTAGCCTGGAGGTAGAACATTCTATTTTGTTGTGAGCATAGTTCTGCAATTTTAGTGGCGAAAACTGTACTGTTCTATTTGGCCATCATGTTATTGGGCCATCTTCTCTTCTCCCCCTGTGAAATGTACTCCCAAAGTCTTTATACTGTTTATTGATGGGGTATCTTCTATCTGCTGGAATGATTAGGCAGTCCCGTACTTGGGTATCTTACTGCTGGCATCTTGATTGGACCTTGTGGCCTCTCTATTATTCGTCACTGACATTACTTACATGAAGTTCTTAACAGAAATATGTGACTTTTCAATTCCAAGCAAATGAATATATCATTATATACATCTTTCTTTTCCCAAATAAGAAACAACAGAACTCTTCACAAGCTACTTTACAGAAAGTTAAGAAACCGTCACAAGTTCATGAAGATAGATCTGGAGCAATGTAATGATTCAAGTAGTCCACTAAACACAACATAGCTAGCATACAGAACGGATGATCTGAAAAAAGTAATCAAAACACAAGCAAAGATAGCTGGCTGGCTGATTGATTCAACTCTAGTAACTCATACAAACTTCCAACTCTTAATAGTATCCTCATAAAGACTAATCACCACTTTTGGCAAAAAAATTGTTGAAAAGCTTAAAAAAATATATTCATTCCAACAAGAAATTTTTAATGAAATACTCTCCCCAGAAAACCTAAGCAGAATTGGCAAACATGATTCTAGAACTAGTTTTAAATCCCTTAGTAAAAGTCATGATCAAATCTATTCAAATCACCACTGACGTTCATCCTTCTCAAAACCTTTATGGTTGGGTTCTAAGTTTTGGCCGTTTGAAAGCCACCACCAACAACAATTCCTGGGCCACGTTCTTTGACATCTATAATGTTTGTATTCTGATATAGGATAAATAGCAGAAGTGATGAGCATAAATTTGGACCAAGCCACTACAATGCCACGGCCGATATATCATGTTTTGATTGGTTCTTCGGATTTAGATAACGAGAAGTTATGGTTGTTTATGAATAGGTTGGTCACACACAGACCCGAATAAGTCTACCGAGTGGCCAATAACCCTGTGATACAAAAAAAAAAAAAAAAAAAATTCTCACTCATTTTTCTAATGAATCATTTAAAGGCTTGCTTAGTAACGTTTACAATTTTTAATTTTCTAAAAAATAAAAAACAGAATCAAAAAATCAAAAACGTCTTTTTCTTATTTTTAAAAATCGCCATTTGTTTACAAAACGATGACAAAAAATAAAAATAAAAATAATTATCAAACGAAATTTTTTTTTTGTTTTCTCTAAATATCAAAATAAAAACAAAAAACAAAAAACCAAAAACCAAAAACATAAACGTTACCAAACGGGACCGTAATTTTACGATTTCATCGAAAGAGTATCTGAAGTATTGAGGAGTCGAGAAATTCAAGCCAAAATACCTACATATGGCATTGGCATATGACTTGTGATGCAATTTTCTTTGATGGCTTTGTACCATATCCCACTTCCAAGATTTCTTGGCAAAGTCATGCAACATGGAATTGATGCGGAATGTGATAATCCTGTCCTTATCTCCATCTAAAGTGCAATGAGGCTCATGAAACTAAATGCCTATATTTTTGTGCATTAAAATTCAAATTTAAAATATCCAGTTAGAAATAATAACTAATATCACATACTTACTAAAAGATTTAATGATGGGCAACTCTATTTCCAGTCTCTTGAAATGTAACGGAACCACTGTTTTGTGCATGTAAGACACTGACATCGGATTAAACCATGAAAACATCATCAGCCATGCTTATGATGGGAAAATCAAAAAGACAGAAAAAAAAAGGTAAAAAAATAAAAAATTAAATTGAAAGCTCCACATGTATCTGAGATAGGCACAACAAATACAGAAAAATCTCATTTGGTTCCTCCTATCCACATCCATGAAATACTGTTCCATATCCAGGAGAAAAATTCACAAGCATTGGAGGTGCGCAATGCAATGTAGACCTATCACAGCAGGTACGACTCAACAACAGTCCGTCCAAACTTCTCTTGAACATCTTTGGGAGTTTCAATCTGAAAACATTTAAGTCCAAAATAGTCCCCAAGAGATCCTTGGAAAGTTCAAAAAAAAGAGGAAAAAAAGACCACCCCATACGCAAAATATATTACTTACCGCATTTAGAGCCTTAAAAAGAGCCTTAACTGTGTTATGAGGATTCCTGGAGCCAACAACCTACCAAGAGGATTAATATTACACCACCACATAGAAAGGAACATCCTCGCAACACAAATGCAATTAGTTTCTTACCTTTGACTTTACATTCTTGAAACCAGCTAAATTTAGAACAGTTTGGACAGTTCTGCCCGCTTTCATACCCGTTCGAGTGGGGGCAGGCCAAAGATACACCTAAGAGGATGTACAAGGTCAAACTTTAACCCATGATTATGGGAAGCAACAAACTGTCTTCAACAAAGAAAAAGTATAAACATTTGCAGATTGACATAAGATAGAGAAGAAAACTAGAGAAATGATTGGAACCTTGGTCTTCTTATATGTTGTTTGTACTGCGTGTGCAATTGTATGCTCCTCATGCCGTTCTACGTAATGGAGATTCTGAAAGCATTTCTCATAAGCCTGTCAATAAATCAAGCAGTAACCGCTCAAGAAATTATATGCAACTATATTTTGAAGATAGGATCACGCCCAAGTGCAGCCTCATAAAGACGCATCCAATGTCACCATGGTATTTTAATAAAACAAGGATATCTGAACAATGCAAGGTTTTGGTATTTTGCAGTCTGGACCAAGCTCCAAAGATATTTTCATTCTTCGTTAAGTAGCTATTTCCACAAAATCATGTTATCGTTATGACAAGCTATTTACAAGAGGTTCCAAATTACTTACAATACGGAACTAGCAAGTTATAACATCTACTAAAATGCCAGCAAATGGATAAATGATTTTGAAAGGGAAGAGGTGCTAAAACTACAAATGAACCTGTTAGTTGCAGCTTTTTAGCAAACATTACTATGACATAAAACTGAAAATCACATTTCCTTTGTTTTCTTATTTCTTGCTTCTCCAGTATTCTTGTCTGTCTGCTCATAAATCAATCATGGTTTCTTTAATCATCTAGTCATATACTTGGTAAATGTGACATAGCATAGAATGCAAATGAAATTTGCACCTTTAGGTAGTAAAACAGTGCATAGAAAATATAACTTTCAGGGTTAACTTTTAAGAGGGGTATGCAAAGAGAAAGAGGAGGAAGAAGAGCAGGGGAAAGGGGGGGAGGATAATCAAAATAGCAAATAAATTCGGCTATGAAGTCACATCCCTCACATGTTTGACATAAGTGCCCTCGCATTGCTTCAGTGAATTTGTAGCTGACAAAGTAGTTTTTTTCCTGCGTGCTTTGTTTCAGTACTTTTGGATATTAAGACGTGAGTGACTCAGTTGAATATAACATAAATCATACATAGGGAAATGCAGAAGCTTTTTATATGTACCACAACAGAATTTAACAAGAGGCTAAAGAGAAAATGTTAGAAGCTTGATAAGGCATCAGAAATGAGGAAATAAACAATAGGGAAGTACAAAGTCAAAGAGAGCTAAGATCTTCCATAAATTCCATAAAAATGGGGGCTATAATGACAAAGTTTGACAAATTTGGAAACATGAGTTGGATTTTCATTGGTTTATTTTTAAAAGTAAGTTCATTCTACTATGTCAAGGGGAAAATAATATATAGATGAAGGCGAAGAAGAACAAGAATTGAGTTGTAAGCCTTTGCCGGTGATCCATTGCCATTTTAACGTCCTTACCAATTTTTCTTCATGTAATGGAACCTAGGAAGTTAGCAACTGGTCTCATTCATTAGCTTTGGGATAAATTGGATCAAAATTGTCAATATATTAATTACAGGATGCCAATACAAGGTGTTGAATCTCACGATGAACCAAACCAGACATAGGCCCACCAGAGCCTGTTAAACATGTTCGAAGAACCATCCTAAATATTACCATTTAACTGAAAAAAACCAACAAAATACCTTCTGGAGGGCAATAGGAACCGCCGGGCCCTTTGCTTTTGCAAAACCAACAACACCATGATAGTTACCACAAGCTAGCATAGCATTGTACTTAACAACTTGTCCCCCCTATATCACATATATATTAAAATTATGTAGAAATTCAGCTGATAATTTCAAGAAAAATTCAAAAGAGGCTAAATATTACCTTTGTAACTTTACAAGTTCGATTGACATCAATTAGTTTCACATCAAAACCCTGCCATCATTCGATCAAAATGTGAGTTATAATATGATATCAAAGGGAAGACACGCCATGCACGTGGACAACTCACCACAAAATAACAGGTATACAAAAATGGAGGACAAGCAGGAACATAGGCCAAGAAATTTCTCTAGAAAACAGGATGACCACAAACATGAAAATCAGGTGCATGGAGAGCAAATTCACCACGTCTAGAGTTTAATAACTATGATTACGCCAATTAGCTTTTTGTTGCACAAGGCCAGCAAATATCAAATGATTTTATCACATGTCAAGAGAAGCCACCTCTAACTACTCCGAAATGAATTGAGTTTATTTCATCCATCTCAACATCTTCCTATTGAGCATATGCTTTTAGACAGTGAAATAACCTGCACCATCAAGAATGATGGACCTTATGGACATCAATGTCTTAAGGTAGTTAGTATTCTACAACCACACTCCAAATAACAATTTGCACTGCATCTATCCCACTTTAGTTGTATGCACATTGTCCTTTCAATCCCCTCTCCTTTATTGATCGCCAATTTTGGCCTTATCTTAGTAATCTATGATCACATAACACCTACAACAGCATAAAAGCTCTCTCCTTAGTTCTTGCAAATGGTTTATAAGATTTCTCTTATGTCATTTAACCAAAAAGGATCTCTCTTCAGTCTCCCAACCTGAAACCCAAAAATGGACATGCTTTACTGCATCAAACAGCCTTGTCCAAGCAGGCTCAACTAGGACGTACCTCAGTATACTAAGTAAGTTCAAAAATCAAGCAATGATAGGAATCAATCAACACAGAAATGAGGAAATCTAGATGAACACCATCAATGTATTGTGCCATTCTTGTGAAAGTGATACATCAAGGACTCATCAACAAATATAGAATGATTCGAATAGAAATTAGAAGAGAAAAAAACCAAACCAAACTAAAATTTTCAATTCTTTGATACACCAAGAGAAAAAGAACTTGATTATGCATACCTTATGGTAAAAGTAATGAATAATGATTCATTAATTAAAACAAATAAAAACAAATGACAACCATTAGTTATGGAGAAGCATTAAGTTAGGGGCCACAAATTGAGTGATTAGATGCATTTTACTTACTTTCCGGTAGAGAGGTCTTCTCTTCTTCTCTGTCAATGAGTTCCTCTCCTCAGCAAGATCTCTTATCTCCTCCTCAAGAAGCTTTCCTTTCTTCCCAACGTATGATCCAACTGTGCCAGCTTCTCTTCTAGTTTCTTGTCAATAGCGTTGAGTTTCTCCAACAATATATCATCCTTCTCTTTCATGTCATTGAACTCCTCCTCATCATCCTCATCAAGTCCAGCACCTTGTATGATTTGCTTTTCCTTTTCAAATCCGGCATGTTCCAGCAGATCAACAGAGGGCCCTAATTGTTCATGTTGAATGACTCCATAATTGGCGGGATTATTAGGATCGTATGCTTCCTTCCATTCAACTAATCTGATGGCCCTGTTTAGCTTATGTTGAAGCAGAAATTTGTCCTTGCCAGTGGCTTCTTTCAAACGATTTATCAACTCACCAATAACTAGATACTCCGGGCGGAGCCGGAAATGCTTTTGCTCAAACTTATCAATTTTATTCATCCACTTGAAAGCATCGTCAAGGGCCTCTGGCCCCCAAAATGAAAAAAATGGATAAAAAGAATTTAAATTTTGTGGGAGCAATGGACATAAAATTTCAACATTAAAAAATACGGCAGCAATTATAATATCCCAAGTGAGCCCAACATCATCCAGCATATGCCAAATTAAGACTTGGGTTTTAGAACCATCCAGCCCATGTCTTTTATACACCTTTATTGGACGTTGCCATTTTCCATCAGTTAGACACAAATAACCAGTTTAAGTGAAATTGAAAAAAGAAACTATATGATTTTTTTTCAATTCTTTATCTAATATTTTTTAGAATAGTTTTAGAATTAAATGGTTTTCTTATTAATACATAGATGACACAACCCGAATTTGACAGTACATGATTCAATTGGCACTACATGATTCAATTGACACCCCTATTATTCATAGTCATCGGCACCAAAAAAAATTCCAATTTGGTGGGAACCATCTTCTCGACACTATCATTGTGGGAATATGACAGCCTCCTATTAATTTAGATCATATCAGACATATTCCCTTAGAGTTGAGTGTTTGATATTTGTTGATTTGGACAATCCAATAAAGGCTTCAGATTTTGCTTTCCTGAGGTTTGCATCTGCTAATATTTTGCAGGCTCGATTGGGCAAACTCTCAAAAAAAGGCATCAAATTTGTTGGATCAATATCTGGATGGACTGCCACACTTCTCTTTATGTGGATGCCTATTGCACAAATGGTAATTTGTATCGTGTTTTTGGGATTACAAATCTAAATTTTCTTATGTTGTTTTGGCATGGGTTTTCTCATCACAATTCATGCTTACTTTCCAATGGACAAATTTCTTGAATCCAAAAACATCAAAGGTTTATCGGCTATCTCAACGCTGCTTGCCATCCATGATTGGGAATGGACTTATGATCCCACGGGCACTCTTTATTCGGGATTTCATGTGGTATGATTGTTTTTCCTCTCAAACTTTATTGCTCTAGTTTAGCTTGCTATCCTAGAGACTGCATTAAATCTTACCTCTTATTTACCATAGTGTAACATTTTATCCCGCTAGTAGAATGGTGTTGCGCTTTGGTGCTTTGTTGATTTTGGTCAGTTAGAATGTTACTTTCCTGTTGTTCTACTTTCTTATTATATGATTTTTCTATTATGTTCTACTTAATATTGTAGTTGTCTTCAATATCAATCTATTTACACTACTTCTAAATGTCACTATAAGTGAAAAAAATTTGAATACCATTTTTATCCTTGATTAATGCTATAAAGTCATTTTTAACCTTGATCTAATAGCTAGCAACAAAAATGTTCCACATGCATTGAACTATAAATTCAGTTATTAGATGGATTTAGATCCACTACAGATTCCTTAAATTAAACATTCATTCTAAAATGAATACATCATTAGTAACTTATTGAAAGATTATTTTGTATTCTAGCTTTCTTTAACCGTTAGCAATTGCAACATGAAAGTTCATTCTTTAATGAATACATCATTAGTTACTTACTAGAAGATGAAGAATTTTTGGTCTTTTATATTCTACCGTTCTTTAAACTTTGGCAATTGAAACATGAAAATTTTCAAATATTTAATTTAAGGTTCTCTTAATATTTAGATGTTCAAACTGTTAATCACAACTTTCGTTTGAATGTCCCTGCTAGGGTTGCTCCAACTAGTGGCTTCTCAAGCCTTGCTGTTAGCCCATAGTTTAGTTAATATCTGAGGAGGAAAGTATGTGAGGAAAGTAAAAGGAATGCAGTAGCAGTTATAATATATTACCAGCATCGGTGAAGTTCTTGAGGAGCTCTTCATGCCGCTTGAACTTCTTCTCGAACTCGTCTGATCGCTTCTTAATGGAGTCGGTGGTGAAGCGTTCATCGTCGTCGTCAGTGTCCGAGTCAGTGGGCTCTTCGTACAAGTGGAGGTTGGTGTCGGTGTCTTTGAGCTTCTCCTTCTCGAGCTTCTCGATGATCGGGCCCACACCCATGTAATCCTCATCATCCTCAGCGTCGATATCGGCAGTATCTAAACCCGCCCTTTTCCTCTCCTCTCTCTCCTTCTGCTTTTCCCTCTCCACGTCCGCGAGAAGCTCTTGGATGGCTTTCCCGAAGAAATGGAGAAAAATCGATTTCCAGGGAAACGAAATCCACGGCGGAGGTGGGAATGGGAAATGGGAAGAGTTTGGAAATGACAAGTGTGGGTTGTGGTAGTTGTCCTTGGGGTGGTCGGAAAAGAATGGTGTAAAGTGGATAATGGTCGAGGGGAGGGGGAGGAGGAGGAGGAGGAGGAATGGACTCGTAGTTGGGTGAGAATGATGTGAGACCATGATGCTCGATATTTGCTGGTGATGATGGTCGATGCAGCCATCCGAGAGAGAGAGACTGACCCCCTGTTTGGTATGAGGGAAAATAGGGAGGATGAAAAATAGAGGAAGGAAAGTAGAAGGGAAGGATCTGTTTTCTATTGTTTGGTTTGGAAGGAAAATGGGAGGGAATGGAAAGTGGAGGGGAGAAGGATTCCCTGCAGCCCGCCAATATCTTTCCCCCCATTTTTGGGCAGATAATGGACTGAAAAAGGGAAGGGAGATGGCATCTTTTGAGAATTTACTATTTTACCCTTTTGTAGCAGACAAAATCCATTCACCTCTATACAACGACGAAACCAAACAAGCAAACAAACCACTACCAAATCACCTCAATACAACTCTGAATCACAGCCTGCATTTCTCTCAGAAACCGACGATGACTTGGACAAAGCACCAGCAAAGCAACGCAACAAAGGTCCCCTAAAATCGAAGCATCGCAGATCAGAAGACCCACAAAATCACAGGCTGAAGATCACAGCTTTAGCTATGCGGTACAATCCCCATGCATAATATTCATCCCTGCCATTAGAAGAAGATAATAAAAAAAGGTTCAAGCAAATGGGCAAGATATATTTGAAACACTAATGACCCTACAACAGATGTCTAATGAAGATGGCACACTGTAACAACTAATAAATACAGAGGAGTCTGAAAATGAGATAAAGACACCTAATGTAGGAGAGAAAGAGGTTCTAAATGTGCATGCTCACTCCAAGTTTGATTAATACACATCATAGAGCTATTGAAATGCAACCAAATATTGAGGTGGTATCTAGAGAGTATTAATCTGCATAAAAAGAGACAATAAATGACTTTGTACAGGCTCACATGTGATGCACTGAACAAAGCATCATGTAGAAATCAATCAAATGAGGCGCCCTACATACTAAGCGTAACCACAAACCAATCAAGTGGAATAAAGTTTTGGGAAAAAATCATTCGGACCCCCTGAGTTTTGTCTTAATGACACGGACACCCCCTCACATTTTATTAATTACAGTGACACCCCATCACATTTGAAACTCGTTACACGGACACCCCCTCCGTTCCATGGCCGTCAATAATGTAGACGGAGAAGAGTGACATCACCATAAAAAACCCTTGTAATTCCAAAATTAGCCCTCAATAGTAAGATTAAGTATTATATATTAAAATTTCCCCAAAAATATATAATAGAAAGACTATTATATCCTTCAGACCCACTGAGTGAAGAAATTTAAACCTGTACCCTCTCTCTCTCTCTCCATTATTTTCCTGTGGATTCACTATATAGTTCATCTACAATGATTTGATATGAAGAATCAACCAATTAAGAAAAAAGAAAAATTTTATTGATTAAATCTCAAAATTACAAGAGTACAAAACCAGAAAAGAAATGTGAAAAGTCTCTCCTGTACAAATGTTGCATTTCTGGACCAGCTAGAAAAACCTGATGCAGAATCACTCTCGGCATTTCTGGACCATTTGCAGAAAAATCAGTAGAACTCTCTCAACTTTAACAGCAAAAGAGGCCATAAAATCTGCTATAATATTAGCCTCCCTATACACATGTATCTATGTACTCAGGTGGAGGAAAACAGGAAAATCAGTTCCTGTTTTCCTGTTAAAAAAAACAATTTCTGATTTTCTGTTACAAGCAAAATAGAAAAATGTTACAAAACAGAAAAAAAAATCTGTTACAACTGAGTAGAGAAATCAAAAATGCTTAAGTCAACAATTAGAGTTGCTTTAATCTTCAATGGTCATTTGGAACAGAGGAGAATGTCAGACATTGAACCTAATGAGCCGAATATTTCACAAAGCACAGTCCAGGGAAAACTTATACTTCCCTAGTCCCTATAGAATGAAAACCAGCATCAAATAAATTAATTTCTTCCATTCCTAAATTTCTTATTTATGAAGCAAATACAAATAAAATAAAACAACTAAGCACAAAATTAGAATAAGTGAAAAGAATTTAAATATTTTCCCATTATCCTAATAAAGAAAATTAAACAAAGTCCAACTAACACACTTGACGAAGCTTCTAACTAACCACATAAAACCCCAAAGAAATAAACCCAAGCATCTCAAAATGTCACTACCCACCATTCCAAGCAGTAAAAGCTGAGGAATTACTCATAAACAACACTCAAAATCAAACAATACAGAGAACAAACATAATATAGTCATCTTTCCCATGAATAAAGCCCATCTATTCACATGAATAAAGCTCATCAACCCAGAATCGAACAATTCTAACTTGATTAAGACACAAGCACATGTATGTGAGTGGGTTGGTGGATAAGTGTAGAGATAGAGAAAAGAAAACCCATCAACACATCCCCACACAGAATACAGAATGAAAATGGGTATTTATTTATACATATATTGAGATAGAGAGAGTGAGTGGAGAGACCTTGGCCACAACCCAGCTTGACACTCTTGAAACGAGTATGACAGCGCAAGAATTCGAGCAAAGTGGTGGACTAGAATCGTTCGGCATCAACGCCCAGAAGGTGTCGCTTCAACTTGTAGGGTTAGATCTCTGGTGGAGCCAATACATTGTGGAATTTAGGGCTTTTGAGTTCGAGAGGTGATGAGATTTGTGGGGATTGGGGAAAGAAGGAGGCTGTGGGGGAATCGGGGAGGAAAAGGAAGAGGAAGGTTTCGAGTTGGGGTGAGAAGGGTTAGCGGCTATAGGCAAACGACGGGTTGTGAAGGGTTTCGATTTCTCTCTCCCTGTGCAAACGATGGGTTGTACGATGGTTTCGATTTTTCAGGATTTTGGTAGTCTGGATATTTATGTCATTTTATGCATTGTGGTTTGACCGGCAATATTATACATCCTCCATTCTTAAATATTTATCATTTAAGATTTTTACACAGACATTAAAAAAGTTATTAAATAATTTTAGTATGAGTAAAAAATAATTACACAAAATTAAAATATCCTTATTTAATACGTATTAGAAAGAAAAGAATATGAAAGACAATTAATTTACATTTAATTTATTAATCACTTATTAGAAAACAGAGATAAAGATAAATTTAGAAGAAAAAATATTAATTATGCTTTAGTTTCATAAAACGACAAATATTGTGAAACAAAAAAAATTAGATAAAACGACAGATATTTAGGAACGGAGGGAATAATTCAGAAAAATTAGAGTTATTCTTATCGTTGTACAATTTTTGTTAACTCCGTTTAATGATAGGGGATGTCATTGTAATTAATAAAATGTGAGGGAGTGTCCATGTCATTAAGACAAAACTCAGGGGTCCGAATGATTTTTACCCTAAAGTTTTATATACTTTTGTGTACCTTCCAATCCTAATTCTTTGACCTTTTCTGGCAGTGGTATAACAGGCTCAGCGACAATATAGATGGTAACCATGGTAGTAGAGCCATCAAGAGTTTTTGCTTCAGTAATGTGAAGAAATGATAAAATATTTGGAAGCCTGACCTGGAAGGAGCAAATAACAGTCTAGGTACGATTAGCTTCCAGTGCCTTCGAAAACATCCTCTCAAAATGGTGAAGGGCTTAAGCAGCTTCTAGCCTTCTGCCTCTAGAACGAAGAAGAGCCTGAAAAATGAGGAGAAGAATAGAGAATGAAGAAGGATGGAGAAGAAGGGATAGAACGAACAGGCTCTAATACTGAGCGAGAGGCGAACAGTGAGAGATTGACTGAGCTCTCTCTCTCTCTGTGGTGACTGAGAAGCGGCGGACAATTGCTGTGAAGAAGAAGATGAGGCAGGGTTTGGGAATGGGGGGTTTTCTATATTTTTGTTTTGGGAGAATTACACCTAAACATTTTGAAATTTATCACTTAATCATTTAGATTTTCTGATATTTAAAATATTACATATAAACACCCTAAAATTTGTACACGCATAACACTTAGATCTCTGCCATACATATATCCATTATAATTTAACCCTTGTTTAATTTTTTAGTTTTATTCTAATAGATAATATAATTATATATTAACTATGATATTTTTAAAAAAAAAATAGATTTTGATTTTTAATTTTATTTTAATAAATGACATAATAGAACATGAATTTTAGATGTAAAATTTACGTTCTATTATGAATGACTTAGATCCCTTGTTTAATTTTTTAATTTTATTCTAATAGATAGTATAAATATATACTTATTACGATTTTTTAAGAAAAAATTAAAATTTTAATTTTAATTTTATTTCAATAAATGATACAATAGAACATGAATTGTGGTTGTAAAATTTAAAATATTTGATATAATATTTCAAATGTCAAGAGGTCTGAGTGATCAAGTAACAAATCTCAGGGAATCTCAGTGTAATTCTCCCTTTTATTTTTTTTATTTTGCTAAAGGACAAAAAAAATATTTACAAGAAACTCATGCTGAAACCGAATAGGAAACATTTTTAGCCATCCATTTTCATTCAGAAGGGTCAATTACAGGTGGTCGGGTTTAGGGATTTTTTGCACAGCCCTAATTACTTTGAAAAAATTCACCACTGAGATATGAGGGTATAATGGTAAATTTGGTATATATACCAAACAAAGGAAAATACATCCCTTCAATTTTTCATCTATCATACAAAACATAAATGCGAGAAAATATATTCATTCCTTCTAGGGATGGAAGGGTGTAGTCCCACCCTTGATCCCAAGAGAGGAGAGCTAGGGTTCTGATCAGATTCACTTTCTGGATCAGACGTGGTATTTGGCCTGGTTAGATTTTTTGGCACAATTGTGTATGCATTGGCCCCATTCTAAGGTGAAAATAGGAGTATGGTATGGGACTGATGCTTACTTTTTTTTTTTAAATGTTTTCTTTACTCATTTATTATTTTATATATATATATATATATATATATATATATATATATATATATAATAATTAATTTATTATTATATTAAATTTATTTAAATGGATAAACGAGTGATAAATGGATTGACAGGTCTTACCTGAATATGACACCGTTTATTAAACGTGTCTGACAGATCAACCCTTTTATCACCAAAATCCGTTAAGATCTCACTCGAACCCGTTTAATTTGTATCAATTAATCGTATCGTGTCAGATTTTGACAAGCCTACAATTGTGTATGCATTGGCCCAATTCTAAGGTGAAAATAAGAGTATGGTATGGGGTTGATGCTCCCCTGTTTAGTGTTGTCAAGTGCCAACATGACATGAGGGGGAGAAAGTGAAGCACAAGAAAAAAATCATTCTTCCCCCTTTTCAATTTTTGTAAACAAAAACAGATATATTTTCCTTTGGGCCCATTAGTATTGTTTTTTGATATATATATTAACTCCTATTCACCATCACTATCTTTATTTTTCACTCTTAGATAATAAAATGATTTCTTTGCTTGGGTCTGTCTTTATTCAGTTTTTTTTCCTTGACAAATAAGGAAAACATGGATACAACAGAAACATACATGTGTGTAACACATACAAGAACCATCTCATCTGATTGATAATAATAAGCGCACACAATTTTTTAAAAGTTGACAAATTTCATTTAAAAGTGACAGTGTACCCATTGAGCATATAGTTTTGTCTTTTGTAAATCAAATAAGGGGAGGGGAGGTTAAAAAAACCAGTCTATGAATTTACAGCAATACTTCCTCTTTGAGCCTAAAAAAAGAATACGAGATGAAAAAATTCATCATAGAATAGCCTGAAAAGTGTATAACTTGCGCTATAGTCTTTGTGCCATTAACAATTCAATCATGCATGCTTCAATTTCCTCAGAGGACAGGCATAGTGTTTTCCATAAGGTGCTCATTAGCTTGAAAACTCTGGTTGACACCAACAATCAACCACTGGCATTTCGAGGAAGACCAGACGTATTTCTGCATTCCATGCTCAGCCATGGCATCATGTCACGTATCATTGCAGCGCCATGGGAGAGAAATATCCCCACATCAAAAGTACTGCAAGAAACGTTAAGACCCAAACACTAACTCTTTTAAAGATGACAATGGTGAAGTGTATCCGTACACTTTGCTGTCTCTCCAAAGAGTGATTCCTATTGCAAGGCCAAAAGCTCTCAGCAGATTGAATGTATTCAAGTGCCAGGAAAAAGTTTAAGCTATGGAACTATTGGGTAGCCAAATTAGAAATTGATAGACTACCTATCCAGGTGACTAAACCAACAGTCGCTGCCAAGAAGAATTCCTTGCTAATATTGTTAAAACTGAATCCACAATACAATGCCTCACTTAGTAAGCCACTCAAAGAGCCTTAACATATGCAGTTACTCATGAAGATTCATCAAACCCCAAACAGCTTACCAATACAAGCATATGAGGTTCCCCCGTCAATAAAATACTGATGCCCAACTCGAACCAGTGAACCTGCATCAATTCTTGTCAAACCATCCATTGTTGTTCTCTTATGTTACAGTCGGTTATCAGAAACACATCTATTAATCATGTTATTAACACAAAAAAGTAACAGATTCAAAGATTTGGCTGGTATTTACGGATAAGACTTGAAAACTTGGCTAATATAGTTATGTACCACCTATCATTGGATTCGGTAATTACAAACTTTGCAAATGATTGGAAGCGCGTATTACTCTTATCTATGATCAAAACTAATCAAAGAAAATTCAAGTTTATGATAGGTACATGCCATAATAACTTCTTCACACAAATATTCTCGTAATCCAGTGCGTAGGATTAGTAAGTCGCCTCTTACATATTCTAATCAATTGAGCTATAATTGTTCCTCACAACTATTTGCTTCATGGAGAGCATTAATCTGCATAAAAAGAGACGATAAATGACTTTGTACAGGCTCACATGTGATGCACAGAACAAAGCATCATGTAGAAATCAATCAAATGAGGCGCCCTACATACTAAGCGCAACCATAAACCAATCAAGTGGAATAAAATTTTATATACCTTTGTGTACCTTCTAATCCTAATTCCTTGATCTTTTCTGACAGTGGCATAATAGGCTCAGTGACAATATAGATGGTAACCTTGGTAGTAGAGCCATCAAGAGTTTTTGCTTCAGTTGTGTGAAGAAATGATAAAATATTTGGATGCCTGACCTGGAAGGAGCAAATAATAGCTCATAATGCAACTACATTTGGAACCAAACCAATCTAAGATAGTAGCATGACATAAATACTCGCAACAAAAAGAAGCACGACAAACTAAAAGAGTGGCACTTGTTCAAGATGATTTTATTTTCTTATCCTAGAATGTAGTCAATGCAATTTTCACTGACAAAAATACTAATAACTACTTGAAGAAAATGATGAAAATAAAAACTGGGTATGAAACTTCAACCTCGATAACTACAGAATTTTCAGAACTGTAAGTTCAGAAATGATCTGCATCTGTAAACCAATTGTACTCCCAACTCCCAAGCACCGGAACAACACAACTAGATACATCGGCATGTTCAGTTGAAAACTGAGTCACAAATTAGATCTTATCAGATCTAAAAGTACAATCATGACAGGATGTTTACAGACCTCCTTATTTGATATTTTCAACACACGCTGTCCAAATAAAATCCTCATCTAAAATTATATGTGCCTCTATCTAATTATGTTATTCGAATTTTCGTTTTTGATTCCT